TTCACAGATGGTCTGCTGAGGATCAGTCATTTCTGTAGAGGGAAAAGAGGAGTGGGGTCAGAACACAGCCCTGAGCTGCTCCAGGGCCGATGGGATGATACGCTCCCCAGCCTCACCTGCTGCTGCCTGTCAGTCAGGAAAGTGGTGACCCACTGACAGGTGGAGGCTGGCTCAGTGAGCTGGGTGAGGTTCTGGTGGAGGATGTCTGGGTTGATGGTGTTGAAGCCAAACTGGAGACCACAAACAGGATCCTGGTGTGGAGACGAGGTGCAGGATGAATGATTTTCAGCTCCAAATTGAGAACACAGTAGTTTCCAGCCTGTAAGTTACCACTTTTTCACACACGTTGAACACTGCGATGTCCTCTTCACACTTTTTACCAACACTGTGAAGAGGACAGCACAACCTGAAGAGTGGACAAAAGTGACATTGAGAGCAGCAGCAAAGAAAAATAAATGAACTGTGTGTGTGAGGCTGTTCTATTCAGACACTGAAAAAGACAATTTACAGGATTTTAACTCACAGGAGGAAGATGAAGATGAAGATTTCAATCAACGACTCCTCCTAATTGGCTACTGGACATATTTTAAGCTGCTGTGTTACAGGCACTACATGCAAAAAGTATTTGGTACATATTTCATAAAAAATTTAAAAATATTTCATGGACACAGACATGCAACTTGCATGTCATTTGTTTTACTTCTCAAAGTTAGTGGTTATGGATTTTAAGCTCACAAAACAGATAATATTAAACCAATGCACAACATAGTTGAATACTAAAATGGAAATAATTTTTTCTTTTAAACCTCATTTATGTGTATATACCATGATGCAATAAAGTGTATATCTAGAGGGTCCAGCTGGGTTTGCTACATCATATAATAAAGAAAATAAAACTTGATTCAAAGCCTAAGATGAACCTGAAGAGCCGCAGCAATAAAGACAATAACGCAGGTGGACTTTCAAAACCCAACTCTGGTTGTGGTTTATAAGTTTCACCAATCAGAACAGCTGCTTCACATATAGTCGCAGTTTAGCAGAAAAGAAAGCAGTAAGCAGCAGCTCATTAATGAACATTTAGCGCTCTTATCGTGTGATTTCCCTGCAGTAACCGGGGCAGACGCTCAGCCATGTCTCTGTTCTCATCAGCTGCCTGTTTATCAGCAAACTTGCACTTTAATGATTGATACGCAGAGAACTAATTATGACACCTCAGTTCACTCATTAAGCTACACAGCTACAAATGATTAATTGATTTATCACATTTTCCCAAGGCTCCATTTATAATCTCATGCTGAAATGAGTTTGGAAAGGGGTGTGTTGGGGGGTTGTAGGAGAGAGAAGCTCTTTAAGGAGGAGGTAGAAGGAAGGGTGAAGAAAGGAGTCAAAGAAAGGGATGATGGAGAGAGAGACGGTTGAAAGATGTTAGAAAGATTTAAAGGGTGGAAAGGAAGTTCAGAAATATTGATAGAGTCCAACTGCAATTAATTAAACTGTATTAATTCACTACAAGTTCAATAATGATTATTAAATCTTATTTCAGAGATAGGGCAAAATCAAAAACATGATTTGACATGATGGTGACTGTATTTCAGACTTCAAACAAAGACTTCAGACTTCACTTAGACTGACAGTTGAAATCGACATCTGTTCTTTGCCTCATGTGTTCAGAGATAAAAAAAAATAATTAATAAACAGCTGATTTGATTTAAAAAAATCTTAATGAGAAAATACATGTAAAAGCTGATGGGTGTGGTCAGGAAGAATCTCCTGTAGCAGTATGGAGCACAGTGGATTTGAAGAAGCCACTGATTGGAGACACTTTTGTTTTTCTCTAACATTTTGATTTGCTAACTTCAAAACTAAAGGGCGGCCATTTTCACCTCTGTTCTTAAATCTCAATTAACTCATCTTCTAAGACCTCTGTTATGATAATACTTCATTTATTTGCTCATCAATGTTTTTCAAACAAAAAAGAAACCAAAATAGACTATTTTTACTTTAGCAGGCAAGTTTAGCTATGCATTAAGCTTTCATCAAACATAATCCTCAAAGCAAATTTTGTGAATAAATTCATCAAAAAAAAATCTAAAATATTTCCATGCCTCATTTGTTCTCTTCCTTAAGAGTTAATTGCAGAGTATGTTATTAATTAACCAAATTAATAAAAATTTAATAAAAAAAATATATACCAAAAATATAAAATAAGTAACATTCTCATATTCAGCAGCCTTTCCTGCTGCTGAATATGAGCTCATCAACAAAGATAGTTATTGTTTTAATCTGCCATTTAGGTTATTAAACCATAAGAGAAAATGTTTTTTCTATCCAGCCAACTTTCCACTCAGGAACTGATGATCATTCATGGAGCTTTTTTGGACATTGGCGTTAACATCAGTGCTGCGGCTGTATGGTTAGCGTTGAGATGATCATTATCCTCCACATAAAAAAAGGGCTGCATTTCCATTATAATTGAGCACTTTGACATTTCGAAATATATGTGCACAATGAAAACACAGCATTTTTGAAAAATTTCAATATTTTTGATAAAGTTTGCCGCTATGTGTTTTATTTTTTGGCCGTATTAAATTGGTTCATTTCACAACACTTTTTTCTCATCACTCTAGTCACATGATCAACAACCAGATGTTAAAACTGGTGAAAAAGATGACAAGAAGTAGTTGGAGGATTATGCTTTTTAATGACATTGTGTGAACAAACTTCCTGCAATTTTACTTGTGAAATTATATCTATTTTTTTGACAGAAGGCAACATTGACAAAGTTTTATGCACATTTGTATTGGAAATGCAGCTGTTCTGCATCACTATGAGCACACAAAGAGCATTTTAGAATCTGGAGGCTGTTAAACAAGTTGGGAGAGAAACAGGGAACGCAGAAGTAAACAATGTGGGAGCAGCAGGCCTGATTTTAGATGGAGAGGACGATCTCTGAGGCAGAAGGAGCTGATATGGACAGAGAGAAGGAAGAGTTCAGGATGGAGAAGGAGAAGGTCCATCAGGAGAAGGAGTAATGAGATGGTGCGGCTCTGCTGCCTAACAATAGCTGCTGTGTGTCGCTGCTTAGCCTGCTGCTCTCCACCTATTTGTCATAATCACAGCCAGTTTTCTCATTAGTGGAAACCATTAGCCTTAAAGCTTTATCAGGCTCTTATCAGTCCCACCACTAGAACATCACCAGGCTCTGGTCTCACACATTCACACTCCATAAAACCCTCTAAAACCTCAGAGTGGTGCTGCTGGGCGGCTGGAGCAGGCGCGGTGCCACGGCGCCGCTGGCACACGCTGCCTTGCTCAGCGGCCTCATGGGGAAGTCGCCGGCTGGCCGGCCGCACATTTAACTGAGCAACTCCTGCAGTGCCAGCATGAGTTACAAAGCACACCCATCCTAATCTGGCTCCATTAGCAGCGCCTGTCCCTCCACAGTTGCTGGGCTTTGTTCAACTGTCAGGATGACCAATGACGTTGCAGCGCGGCTTGATTCATGGCAAGCGACCCGGAGATCACATCTGATGGGAGCGTCAGGCCAAACGACCAAACACACCCCCAGCAGCCCATTATGGCCTATTTATCTAACTGGACATCTAATGGGAGAGCGCTTCTTTCCCACTCCGACACTGCGATACTATCATCAGAGGCTTAGTTAAGACTTGGACTGTTTGACTGGGGCTATCTGAGGTGGTGCAGGTTAATAACTGGAATAGCTTTTAACTTCTGAAACAGATGAAAAGGAATGAGACTGGAATGGGTCTGGGGAAGCTCCTGTGGTGTGAAGTCATTGGTGTGTGCTGAGAGATATCAGGAATCGTGTCGTCAATCATCCTCTGAAGGCCCACGTGCCACACTAACCGGGTCCAAATGAATCTACATATGATAGACGGTGGTTCTGTGAAGGTTACAAAGGATTATTGAGCCATTATGTCCACAGAAAATCAACAGAAATGATACTAAATTGAATCCTAATGAAAACAGGAAACTTCACTGAACTTGCTTGTTTGGAAAAAGTAAAGTCTGTCCAACTTCTTCACCCATTGTTTGTCACCAGATCTAAATACAAACGTCTTTTTGTTTTTTGTTTTTTCAGTCATAATGACATCAGTAAAACATAATGGATCATGTATCTCATTGCCAGCATTCCTTGACCTGACATAAAATCTTTAGATTTTTCACATTCATGTTACAGGATTCTTTGGCGTCACCAGACTAACGCTGGATTAAGACTAACGCTTAAACATGGTGGCACCTTTAAGGAAGTACTGCATAGGCGTAACTTCCTCAAGGACTGAGGTGGACATGTCCCCACTAACTCTGGCATGAAGGGGACAATCCCCACCAATATTTCCTGAACCTTTTTTTCTTTATGTGCCTGCATCTATGTAACTCGGCAGCAGCTGCACGTTGTATTCAAAGTATTAAAAGCATTTATAAAATTTCTTTGTAAAACGTAAATGGCAGCTCCGCTCACGGATTTAGTGCAGTAGTCCCTAACCCCCGGTCTGTGGACCATTGTTGTGTTCACTGATTCAGATAACAGGGTCTGATTTTTGAGCTCCTGGTTGGTCTCTCAGTGCATGTTTACTTTTCAGAATTACTCTTCTACCATCTTTATTCTTCTGTCTTTTTAGATGCTGTTCCTCAAAATGATATACACCCTAATAGGTCATTTTGGTTTGTCTTTTAATCCCAAAATTGTTAAGAGGTGCAGCTCATGGAGCAAAAGGCTGATCTGACAGAGGTTTCTGTCGAGGTTTAGAGCCGTGTTTATGTGTTTCTCAGGAGTTCATGAGGTCACAGTGGACCTGGCTGACCTGCTGGGTCTCATAATGCTGAAGCATGGAGAGTATCAGATTGTTTTCGCTGCTTTGGGTAGGACGACGGCAGAGCTTGTGATGTCGATGTTAGCAATGACTTTTCCTGTGAAGAAAATGTTTCAGTGGAAATTCCCCAGCTGTGTAAAAACTGCATGTTTGTTGTTTGTTCAGGTTTTTGGGTTGGTGCCAGAGGAGTCGAGTTTGATTGGAAGTACAACCAGATAAGCTTTGACTCAAACATTAGTTTGGTGAGTAGCTTTACTACTTACACACTGTGCCTTATTTATTTTATTTAAACTCTTGATTGCCTTTTCATATTACTGATTCCTTTGTTTCTTTTAAATGATGGAGTAATTTTTCCCCCCACATTTTTAATGGGTTTGTTTATTAGACATTATATAACTGAATAATCATGTGTGTTTGTGTGCATAGGTCCATTACATCGCCATGGCAGCTGTTGTGTGGATGTTCACCCGATATGACCTCTCTTTGACCTCCAGGCTGCCTCTTACTGTGCTAGTTTTCTCTGTGTGTGTACGAAGCCTTTTTAATAGAGTAAGTCTCATATTGACAATGTCAGCATTTCAGATGGTTGGAAAACAAATACATCATCATTAAAACTATTAGGTTTTATGTTCAGAATTGAATATTCTTAGGAAAACTGAAAAAAGACTAAAATCAAAACGATTCATGTGCTGCATGAATTTGCATGAATGGTTATTTTCGAATTTGTAGATAGACATGTTACTAGAATGAAGACCTAGTAACAATAAAGGACCTTAGAGGTTTGAATCAACTTTTTAATCTGCATGTCATGGGATTTTGGAAAACAGTCCAACTCTTACTCAGCCGGGATCAAAACAGAACACCCCGATCCATCTCACACAAACATTTGATGAACACTCTCCCCTACATCCTTTTTATTTCAAAACAAATAGACAGTGCACTGAGAAAATGTTTTAATGATCTCAGAAGATCTTGTGATATAAAAACACCACAATATGTTTTTGTAAACGGGAGGTTTGTCTTGTGACCGTTGCTTGATAAAGGTTAAGTCTTAAATAGGAATTTTATTATTAATTACTTTTATTATTATTAGATTTTTTTTAGGTTGAAACTCTGTCATAAATGTTTGGGACTCTTATTTTGAAGTTGAAAAGGAAAACTTTCTGCTTTGATGTGTTTTTATTTACACAGCCAAACTCTTATTGTAATACATGATTTTGTCAGTAACATCAGTCTCTCTCTGCTCACTTCCTGTTTGTCACTCAAGTTCACAGCAACTGAAGAAGCAGCAGCAGGTCATAAAAACAGTCTCAGCTCAAACTGGAGGAAAGGTTTTCACCGGTCAGAGTCTGAGCTGTGAAGCTTTAAAGGAGGCTTAAAAATGATCAGCGTTGGCTACTTGGACTTGATTGACATGATTGATTGACATGGTTATGAGCCCATGAGGAAAAAGAGTGTTCCCTCATTTCTACCCAACGTTTCAATGAATTAGATGAAGCTAAGGGACAAAGGTCAACATCAGGAAACTTCTTCAGTGTGTCTGACTTGTGTTTGTTTTTAAGATGTGAATTTTGTATTGATGTAACCACAAATGAATTAACACTTAATCAAAAAATACAATTCTTTTAGTCCTGTTTGTGCTTTGATCAGTTATGAAGTTCTATTAAAAATATGGGAGTTTCTTAATATTTAATGTTGCCAAAAATGATTATGGTTAAAAAAATGACTCCAGAAATAACACGATGAAAGAAGAACATTTGATTAAATTCAGAGTTACAGCACTGATGAATTTTACATTATGGACCATCAACAATGGAAACAATAATAAATAGAAAACAAATCTGCCTTAATATTCATTCTGATATTTTGTTTTGGCACTTGGATAATCAGAGTCTCATCTCCAGCCAGGAAGCAGAAACTTCGCTGTCCGTTTTGAGAGTCATTGATGTTTTAATTGACAGGAGATTTGAGGAAACAGAAGAACAAATGTGAGAAACACATAGACAAACACACATCATTAAATACTGAAACTTTTCTGAGATGTGTCAGCAGCAGCTTTAGTTTCGTGGTGTCAGCTGAAGTCCAGCTGCTGGTCTGTCTCAAACCTGAGGTGATACCGGCCCGCATCACCCAGCTTCACACCCCTGATCTGAACCGAACTGCTTCCCCCGGAGTAGCTACAATACAGGCAGCAATTCAGTAATGTAATTTTACTGTAACAATAACAGCACTTGCAGTTCTCATCGCCGTGTGCGCCTGCGGTAAGACGGGCTGATCTGGTTGGGGTGGTTGTGGTGAGCAAACTCCCTGCAAACCTCAACAGAAACATGAAACCACATAACGCGCCTCACAGTGTGACCTGGGGAGTTCTACACAATGATGTTGTTCACTAAAACATATCCACTTTACTGTCCACAAGACATTTGAGATAAAATCTGGAAGAAAAGGACAAATTCTATTTGGACTAAAAAAATCCAAACTTCATTCTACTCTTAAACTTTTTCACACATTGTATGTATTAAAGCCATGAACAATAACGTATTTGATTTATTTTTTATGAGCTAGATCAACACAACAAACTATTAATGTGACGTGAGAAAAAATACAAACCTTTCAATTTCTAATACTAAACAAGAGAAAAAAATGACTGAACTTTCCTGCCACTTCAAAATAATCAAATATTTAGTTTGGGTCTGTTACATAAAATCATAATAAAGTACATTTACCTGAGGGGTAGAATCACTGTAGTTCCTGTCCACACACAGAAAACCACACACTGAGTACTGAGAAGACACAAACGCTTTCGATCTTTCAGTTGGTCTGATAGAACATTTCATCTGACTTTTGATCGATCAGAAGGCAAAACATCAGAAAGGCCAAATGTGTTCCAGAGTGTGTAAATACTTGAGCAATATGCACGCTCCTAATATCACCCTATTTCTGTCAAGCTAAACTCATTATTTCTCTTTTACTTTTAAGAGCCCCCATCCTTGCAATCTTCCAGATCATTGTTTCTATTCTTTATAGTGATCACCTCCTCCTCTTTTAGCTTCACATTGTCCCCATCCATCTACATCGTGCCGGTCTTCCTCCATCTCCCTCCACCCTCTCTCCATGTCATTAAGTCCTCCAGTCTGCCCAAGCACTAAAACATGTAAAAGAGCTTCCGTTTTGGGAGAGATTTGTTTGTGGCATTAATAGTCCTTAGTTTTCCACATGGTTTCCCATCAGCCAGAGACATTAGAAAGAGAAGTGAGGTGCAACACATCTCGCCTCACATCGTCTCATCTCTGCCTCATCTGTCACACAGAGGCAAAGGGATAAAAAAAGAGGAAAAATCACAAGTAACAACTATGGATAAAGAAAGCAAACATAAGGCACGTATGGGACACAGACAAAGCAAGTACTTTAAGACTAATTGTGCATTTGTATATTTTTGTTGAGAAATTCTACTTATTTCTATGACTCATCTTTTTTTCACACTTAAATTCACTATTTACATTGTGCAGCTAATGCTGATGATAAAGTCGACATCAGTACATAGCACTCCCTGTTTATGCCACTTCAATGTACATTAATGAGATTCTATAATTGTGGATCAGAAAGAAAATAAGAGTTTTCCAATAGGGCTAATAGATAAAGCTTTGTTAGCTTTATTCACTAATAAAGCTCAAAAGTAACTCTGTCAAAAGTATCTGACAGAGTAAACTGTCAGATATTTTCCAATGGGTATAGAATCTGTGTGGACAGGCCAGCTCATATTGCCATTCTCTAAAAAGCAGTTTTGCACAAGTCATGAAAGACTCTACAGGATGTCAGGCAACTTAGCAAATGATAAGCGCAACCAGCAATCCTAAACATACATGTTTGAATTAAAACATATTTATTGTGTTCAGACTGGTCCAGTCAAAGTCCAGGAATAAATCCAAATAAGGACTTGAGAAAACACTTGAAGGTTGCTGCTCTGGCTTCCACTCCAAATGGGCTTCTTTTGTTTCTGCAAAACGTCAACCATTAGATTCAATTTAACTGGGTTTATTTATATAACGTAAGTTCACAACAAATACCCTCAGCAGATTGACCTGTAGCGTTCCCTCCTTCTGGACAAAACAAGTCTTTGACTTTACTACTAACTGCATGTTAACAGGAAGAAACCTCCAGCAGAAGCAGAACCTGGCTCAGTACCAGCGGCCCTCTGCCACGACCGTCTGGAGGTTAGAGACGATGGAGCAGAGACACAAACAGAAACTGAAGAAGGATTATTTTTCTATGTTAATAAAAAATACAATTTAATAGCGGGAGAGGAAGAATGATTAGAGGATGGCAGCATTATCTCAGGTGATGATCTCCTCACAGCCAATCAGAACGCCAGGCCAGGTGCAGCTTCCAATCACAGCGTCTGACAGGAAATAATCCTCAATGTTCAAAGTAGGTGGAGTCATGCCCCAAAAAGACATGCAGTGGAAGGTGGTCCTACGAAGTACTAACTCAGGGAGGGTGTTGTTATTGCAAGCAAAGCTTTTCAGACATTTTATATATATATATATATATATATATATATATATATATATATATATATATATATATATATATGGTTTCCCATCAGCGATGAATGCCTTCTGCTTCATCCCTAACTGGGATACATTTTTATTGTACCAAATAAAATTGTGATAAAGTTTCTGGCTGTGATGTGAGAACATCTGAATCGGTCCAAAGGGTGTGAATACTTTTGCAAGTACAGCATTTCATTTCACAGCTAAAATGAAATGTTTGGATCCTCACAACAAAAGGCAAGAGGAAGAGTAAACTACCAGTGCAAGCTGAGAGAGGAGAGGAGGTTTTTCTAGAATTCCTCCAACATGTCGTCCTGGCCCTCTCCATCTTCCTTTCTTTCCTCTCCGCTCCCACCGGGCCGTCACTTGGCTCCGTCACCTGCAGCCGACCTGTCTCTCTGTAATTAATCCAACCAGAATGCGAACATTTTCAGGTCAGTTCTTCCCTCTTTCTTTTCTTCTTCCCCATCCCCTCTCCTCCTCTGTCAGCGCCGCTCCCCCATTTAAGTTAATCACAGTTGTTCAAGGCAAAAAGCAGACGTTAACGGCTTGGTGCGTCAGGAATGGTCCTGCGCTCCCCACCGCTAATCGGACCGTTACAACTGAGAAGCTTTGCATTATGCAAATCACTGGCCGGGAACAGGTGACATTTGTAGGGGAGCAGGGCGACAGGGCGATGGAGTCTGGCTGATTTAGACATTAGTCCCTGTCACAACGCAACACACACACACACACACACACACACACACACTCCTCATTTGCATATGAACACAGCGCACACTCTTTTATATGGCAACAAAAAAGAACAGCAACATCTCCAAGTGATGGCACAATGTACGCCAACACTTGGGTCTTAAGCCAGTAATTAGAAAGCTTTGTTTTTTTGGAATGATCCAATTGTCTGTAGTTACAGCAGTCTGGTTCTGAGGGTTTGGTTTGGTCAGGTCAGGGAAGAATGCCTTTTTCTACTTTCCACCAGAGAAGCAGATCTGAAATGATGTGGCGACAGTTTTTAAAAAGTCCCAACAGTTTGGCAACTAATGAAAAGGTTCAAGATGAAACAGAAACTGTTTGAATTTCTTGACTAATGCCTGGTTCACATGGAAAGATTTTAAAATTGTCAACCGATTTTCAAACCTGAAACATATTGCTTCCTCACACATGATAGCAACATGTCTGAGGTACAACGGGTTTGATTGTTCAGTGTGTGTGTTGTTCAGCCCCATGGCAGGAGCAACACAGCACACACAACTGATTTCACTCACAGACATTCAAATACCAGATGGAAAATCTTGCAAAACCTTCCAAGGTTAAATGTGAGTTCAGAGAAAACAAATATGGCTGACTGGGAAGAAGTGATGGATAGTTTGTCCACTGGACCGTCTGGAGCTCTTTGGCCTTTGGCTTGTCCTCTGCATATGTTGGATCCCCTCTGGGTTTTCATCTTCTCACTTTCTGATTGGCTAACGGTCAACAGGGTGTGTTCTAGTTTGTCTTTGGGGAACACCACACACACTGAGATATCAGACCAAGTCCAGTTTATTTGAATGGAACATTTCAGCAACAAGGCACAAAAAAAAGAAACATAAAGTTACCAGTTGCGAAACAAGCAAGAAGCATTACATTTGATCAAACGGCACCATGAAAATCATCATTAAACATCAAATATGTTGATCAATGTTCCATTTTCTACTAATAAAAGGGTTTTAGTCTTGATTTGAAAGAACTCAGTCTTTCAGATGTTTTGCTGTTTTCTGCAAGTTTGTTCCAAATTTGTGGTGCATAGAAGCTGAATGCCAAGAAATTTAAACATTTTGAATATCCCTGGTTTGAGGTCAGAGCGGTCCAAAGTCTTTCCAAACCTGAACCAAATCTGACATCTCTTAACACACCACACACAGGAAGAAACGTCTCTTTAGGTCATCTTTAGACTTGTCCCAATTGACATTACCATGGCCAAAATTATGATTTGAA